ACATCTCTGTGTGTAGCAGGAAAGAACCTACCATTTGGAAAGAAGTGCAAGTGCCTTGCAAATTCTTTATCTACTTCAAGGAAGGCCTTTGTTAAAACAAATTCCAGATTGGACTCTTTTGCCACAAGGTCCCTGAAACAACAACAACCAAGGGAATATATTTTAGGATGAAACTGTTAATCAGCTGACTAATTTCTTGTGATGATAACTGTTATATATAAGTGGCAATAGCTTATTTAATGTTTTCCTTACTTGATGAATTTCTCCATGTTTTTTTCACAAAAGTCAGCTGCGTTTGACCCGCCATGCCCATCAAACACAGCAAAATAGAGGGTGTTGTCAGTCATTTGGGAGACCTGGAAGCGGTCTTCATTCTCCTTGCGTTGACCAATGAGCGAGGCACAGCCCACCTTCGATAAACTGACTTTGGGTATGGGCTTGCCGTAGCGAATGCTGGGAGGAAGCAGGATTGGCTCATCAATGCGATTGTCCCAAATGCCAAATGAATCCCAAGTAGTAGGGTGGCCACTGCTGTCTGGGTCGAAGCGCGTGTTGCTGTGTCGTTGTCCCGAAGGACTGTAAAGTTGTCTCCGGAAGACTGTGAATTGGAGGTGGAAGTCCTGCTGGGATGGGAGTGGGACAATAGCCATCTGTGAAAGACCACTACGACCCACATGAAGACCACTGCACCTTGCCAGGCGCACAAGACAGGCTGCTGCCATCACCCTGACAGCATGAACACCGGAGATCCACTGGATGCAAGTGGCAGAGGTTGTCAAGAGATGTCCACACACTGATGAAAAATCGGTTCGTTAGACTGGATGTAGAATTTTAATTAACACTAGACAGACCTTGTTTGATTGTCCGGAATAGGCTAACAATATCAGCATTTCTAAACTGCTGATGCTATTGGCACTGTGTTATTTCTTCAAAGGTTTCTTCAAACTAGAAATCATTAAGCAAATGCATTGGATCTTTGTTATCTAAAAGGAGGCAGAAACATGTTAAGATGACGCAATCCCTTTATGTTTATACAACAGGTGCTCAAGTCAGTGATTGATGCAAGGACCGACTTCATAATAAGCCTCAAGCCGAGCTGAAACTGACTGGAAAGGACAAAAAAAGTATTTTTTAGAATAAATGTTAATCCTGTTGTTATTCATGTGTTAGTAATCACAGATAAATGAATGACAAATTCAGCATAACATTTTAACTGTAGGGGAAAATAATAATAATAATGACGCAGACAACTATAATTACGATGAGTTTACTACCTTTTCTGTGCAGCGACATTCACAAAATGTAGCAGAAGCGTTATGTCAAGATACAAATATATTTTTAAAGTAACACTAAGGTCAACGTTATCGCTGCCACGAATGACGCAACTCTTGACAGTCATAAGACTCACAGTTAGCTGTGTAAGCAAACAACATACCAGTAACGACTAAGCTATCTCTAAACTGTCCACGGGAGCTCCTCATGGGTTGTACCCATGTTGCAGGCAAAAGACGCCAGTAAGTTAATCTAAATATACTATTACAAACAACCTTTAACTTGGAGATTTATCGTTTCGGTGGCGTTAGCATGAACTAGCCTGCTAGGTAACGCTGGCTATTTTTTGACTGAGCAGCTAGCTAGGTAACTAAAATTAGCATTAGCTGGAATTTTCCACTTTGTCCAAAACATGATCGAGACCCTCCCCTTGACCTTACAGTTGTGTGTTAACTAAAAATCATACCTTATAGCTTTCAGACGTATTAGTAGTGTTTACGCTTTAATCCAAATCCGTGCTGATTTCTTAAAAAGGACTCTCTGAATGACGCCTTCTATGTTGTGTTTTTTTTCCCCCCGTATGATGTTTACTGGCGGTTTGCAAGCCAACTTAAGGTGCATTACCGCCACCTGCTGGGCGGGAGTGTGGAACGACAATAGAAGAATCGGCTTTATTGACCAGGTGTGTCTTACACACGAGGAATTTGACTGGTATGTCGGCTCTCAATGTGTATGTACATATCCCCATGCAAAGGGCAAGTAAACAGTAAACCAGCATAAGGCTGTGTAATATATCAAAATCAGCATTATTACCAAGCAACAAATAGTCAAAACAATGCAAAATAAGCTGTATGAACAGGCAGTAAACAATGCAGACAAAGAATGCTCAGAATAGCTGTTTTTTTTTTTTACTTTATTTCCACAAACCTTCCAAGTATACATCAAATTCTGGTGTATACAATTTGCGTCTATAAATACACCAAGGGGATAAATATAACGAAAGAAATTAAAGATACACAATTTCATAAAACCGTTGCAAACCTTGTGTGTGTTACTTTTTTATATTTTGCATCTTTATATGCACATATAGACAAAATACCACCACCATATGTCTGAGATGTGACCATACCAATCAGCATACCAGAAACGCCCCACGTACAGTACAGTTGATTGGTCGAGGAAATTAGGAATGACAGCTGTGTAAACCAATTGCGCCTCTTTTGACGCCCCACGTGCAGTGCAGGCGATTGGTAGACGAAATGGAAAGGTTTGGCATCACGCAGGCAGTTTATCAGTAAATGTATTATAAAACCTTTTATAATTCATCTGTGAGTTTATGACATGTTATGTGATGTTCATGTAGCATGTAGTCAGTAAGAAACAAAGTAGACTACTTAGGTCTTTTACTAACGATACCACACACAGTGTAGAAATACTCAGTTACAAGTACTCCAAAGGTCATGCGTTTCAAAATTTGCTTGAGCAAAAGTGTAATTATTAGCACAACATCACCTTAGAGTGCCAAAATTAAAGGGCCGCACTGTGAATAACGGCCCATTTCAGAATATACTGTTTGGGAAAGCTTAAAATTACTTAGCCTGTAATTACTTAATTAATGTACCTATGTTATAGCTGGTAAAGGTGGAACTATTTTATATATTGCTAGATAGTCATATAGATAGATAGACTATTGTATAGGAATGCATTATGATTTAATTGATTATATTTTGTATTATAGACTAAATATGAAAAGTAAGTAGAAATTACAAATTCAAAAGCATTTAGTTGAATAAGAAGTATAGTATTTGCCTGTGAGATGTGGCGGAGAAGTATAAAGTAGCATAAAATAGACTCACAAGTACAAGAAGAGAAGAAGAAATACCTCACATTTGTACAACACTTTAGTAAGTGCTCCTAGCTGCAGTCTTCTACAATTCAATAACTAGTAGCTACTAGTTACGTGAATTTCTTCAAATTATTTACTTCCTCACTTTGTATTTTGTTCCTAGTTCTTCTGGGGCCCAAGCACCTCCTACATCCTCACCCTCTATGACCAGTGCACTAATCTGAATTTTTAATACAAAAATCATCTGATCCCTGAATGTTTTCTCTTCCTTTAACACCACTGGCTAAGGAGTACAGAGCTCCATGCTACTGCTATTGCCCTTTAGCAATTTCCTTTCTGAAGCTAAATGATGTTACTAGACAGGGTAAGTGTCAGCGATATGGCACATCATTGTCACGCCTAATCAAAACTGAAACTCCAGAGAAGTAAACTCCAGCATCAGTAGTGGTAACTAGATTAGGTATGCGTGTTAATTAGTAACCACATAGAAACTTTTTAAAAACCCAGTAAAACACAACTTTAGAAGAAAACTGTATATTGGACTATGGACTGAAACAATTTCAAATGTAGGTTTTGACACAGTGTCCCATCGCAAGAGAAGGGCTACAACGGAGGACATGACCTGAGCTGATACTTCAAACTTTCTAATTATTTTTTTTCAGTTAAATCAAATCATGCAGAACTACATTATATTGATTAGATCTGGGATTCTGGGAGGCTGTTGCCCTCTTTAATTACAGGAAAAACACTCTTTATTTAGATCTGTAATATTTATATAGACAGAAGGGTCAATCACACAGTAGCGTTCCTACTTGTCACGTTCAGTGACGTAGGCAGCTGTGGCACTTCCTGGTTTGGTTTCTGAGCGGAACCAAAACCCTACGCCGATTTAAGAATGCATCTGTGCAGGTACACACACACATTTTTTTTTTTAATTTTTAGCACATCAGATATATTACAACACTGTTTAACTTATAAAGTAGACATCGGTTAACAAACGGATTCCCGTTGTTCTGCCGTAATACGGACAGTCAGCGTTGATGTAGCTTGATAAGGTTAGTTAGCTAACTATTAACTAGCTATAATGGCTTGTGTATGTGTCATCCAGCCGTTTGTTTTGGATTCATTATTAAACCCTTTAACCGTCCAGTGTCATTGGAGATATTTAGCTGGTCATATATACTTTGTTTATGTCTGACTACACAAGGCGGACCAAGGCCACTCCTCTTCACTTTCTCCGCAGCTAAACTGATTCATATTCAGCTAATTCCGATCGCAGTGTTGGCACCACGGATTACTATAGGTAACCACGTTAATAAAACATTTCTGTAAAGTACTAATAACTGGTTCAAAATGATCATTAGTTTCCCAAAGCTCATATAGGCATTTTCAGATTAATTGTTTGGACTGACCCAATCTTGAGTACAAAACTCAAAGATATGCAAATTTATTTGACTTTTCTTAAGACTAATTTAAACATTTCATTCATTATCAAAATATTTGCACATTAATTTTCCGTCATTATAATCTTCATGAGATAGGATTTATTTAAGAGCTTCTTATTTGACTGTTATTTTAATTAGGTGTACTGAAAACAGGCAATAAAATGCATATGCAATACACACAAGAATTATTTTGTCAAGTAATACATTGTCTTAAAGCTTATAAACAGTTGTTCTCATGTCTGTCATGCTTTGTTTAATTAGTGCTGCTTCAATTAGTTTGTTAACCTTTGCCTAAAGCAGTCAGTGACATGTATGCATTACAGCTGGACTGACTCCTTGGAGCTGCTTAAAATGGCATTACACAGGCAGGGTTTATTTAAACACTGTTTGTCTGTCATAGCACTTACATGATTATCACACACAGCCACACCCACGTCCATCCTTACATTATCCTTAAAACATCGTCCACATTCAGACAGTATATGGAGCATAGTGATCAGTTCCTTAAGAGGAAAGATGACATAATTATTGTGTTTCTCCCCCCACCCCCAGGGTTGGAATTTACATGAGGAGGAAAAAGTGGGGCTGCTCTCAAGCCTGAACTATTGTCTTCCACCATCTGGCCATCACACTCTGCTCCTTCCGATTGGTGGTTATCCCCTCTCTCCTTGCCAACATGCTGTGTTGGGGTAATGCAAAGAATGGACAGCTGGGTATTGGTGTGGAGAGGAACCATGTGTTTGAGCCAAAGAACTGTTCTGTGTTCAGTGGCAGGGGACTTAAGGAGGTCGTCTGTGGGGGGCAACACTCAGTGTTCCTGCTGCATGATGGTAGTGTGTACACATGTGGCTCTAACAGCTGTGGACAGCTGGGCCATGACAAGTCAGGGAGTTCGCCAGGTAAGCTTAACAGCAAGAACGCTAGATTAACTTTTGTTTAATCATTGCACCAGCTTGCAGCACGGCACTAGTTGGGTGTGTCTGGAAAGTTACCAAACCCATGTGAGAATGTGGGTGAACGTGATACAATTTCTTTTAAAGGCTCCCTATATTGGTAGTAATTGAATCAATGGCCCAATAAAAGTGCAGCATTTTTGCTGATATTAAACTAGCTTAATACCTTCATGTGAGAATAATTCAGGATCACATGGTGCCAATACACTGACTGAAATACTAGATAGCCCCACCTTTGGTGAAGCTGAAGAAGCTTTCTGAATGTGTAGTGAAATACCTGCTTAGCAAGTCCAGTTCCAGATATCACACAACCTGGATGACTGAAGAGCTATAGTGTGTAGATATTAAGCCAAAACATGGAAAAATCAAACTTTACTTCACAACTTATATATGTTACTTAGTTGTATTTATGCAACATAAAATACATTTTACAGAAAACTGAGAAAATGTTTATATTGTGGATTTATTTTGTTGGAAATGTTCTATGCATTTCTAGATGAGTTGAAGCTCTGAAAGCTTGTGAAGTGACCATGTGGGTAGAGGTTTGTGTTGTGTGTTACTTTGTTTAGACGTGTGTGTGAAACTGTGAACAAATGCAAGAATCACTGGACCCTGAGCAAATAAATACCTAAAACACCGTGTTTACAAGTGTGTAGGTGAGAAAATGCATTGTTGATATACCACACATTGTGTAAGGACTTCTACTCACTTTACTTAACACTTTGGTCAGTACGCCTTCAGCAGGTATGCTTACATGATTAGATCCTTTTTGACAAATCTACAGAAATGTATGTTTTAATTCACACTTGTTAAACATTTTGAAAGTTTTATTGAAACTGCAGAATCAGTCTTATCAAGCATATACTGTATATTTGACCAGTGTAATTGCAGCATGATTGTTTATAAGATAGAATACCCATGCTAAATGCCTAGCATGGGTTAGGTGCGCCAGGACATTATGAATGCTCTCTGCTTCAAAGGAGCCTAAAACATATTTTAACACTGCTTGGATTTTGTAGCTTGCTAAATGAAACACCTCAGTGATAATTAAAAAACAAAATAGTTTTAACAAAATAGGATAGGATTAACAAAACGTTATAGTTGGAATGACAATTATGAGTCAGGCCAGTGAACAGCAAATAAGAATCCAGATTAAAAGTGAAAAATCATTCAAGTAAATTGGCCATATTGCCATTTGTGGAAGGAGATTTAACACCTACGCTACCAAATCATGACTTTGCAGATTTTGATCTTTTTTTTTTTTCTTGTCAGAGCATTGCTTCTGCTAGAGTCTGAAAACCTTGTTCTCTTCTCTCCAGAGCTAGTCGGAGCTCTGGATACTCAGAAGATAACAATGGTGTCAAGCGGTCGGGCCCATTCTATGGCAGTGAATGAACAGGGTCAGGTGTTCGCCTGGGGAGCTGGTGAAGGTGGTCAGTTGGGCCTTGGGACTTCAGAGACAGCTGTTCGAATCCCAAGGTGATTATGTTTATTGTACCATAGCAGAGCTGAGGTTTTTAGACTGACAGCAGTAAACTACTACATGAAAAGGAGTTTGAAAAGGAGCACAAATAAAAAACTGACTATTAAAGCCAAAAAGGTTACGCCACTTACCCATGGACAGTTTCTGAGTCAGTATGCATCAATCCCTACAACAATCATGTGAGTGTGCGCTGTGATTGCATGGTGGCATGTAATGACCCCACTCGATAGCTGAGGGAACAATGTACAGCCTAGCCCTTTTTTTAAGTTTGAAAAAAGTTATGTATTTTTTGTTATATTTCTGTGCATTAGTAACTTAAATGAAAAAAATCTTACAATGAACAAGTGTTTTTCTTGTATTCCCTAGGCTGGTCAAAAGGCTGTGTGACCATCAAATCTCCCAAGTAATGTGTGGGAATCAGCATTGCATCGCACTTTCTAGAGGTGTGAAGGACAGTCTCTTCATGATACATGAATACTGTTCAGGATCTAGAATATTGCATCCATCTACTTTATGTGCAAACTGTATCCATATCTTGATAAGGATTGTAATTCACACCTAGCACCAGAATGCATCACACATTCATCTCAGGTAACAAATTGCATTACATTTTGGTCCCCTAGGTGTTTAGTAGTACCAGTGTTTTGAGCTGTAGTAGGACAAAGAATTGGTAGTTACCAAGGCTGAGATACCTGTCAGTGAAGCGCACGTCTTCCAACATACCGCACAAGCTGTAATTTGTTCATAACCAAACTATTTTTAAAATCACTGCAAAGACACATTAGAAGAAATTATTATAATTTTAGACCAAAGCTGCTGCTTTTTCTTTATGAATATGAGAATACTGATGCAGGAATAAAATGGCAGAATATAAATATAGAGCACTAGATAGTAAGTTTAGATCTGGAACAGTCTATAACTAAGGTGGGATTCATAAGAGTGGATGTTTATAAATCCAGATAGCACCACAGTATCAAACAAATGGTCTGTATTTGCCTGTACTTTGTGGCAGTCACTGGTGTGGGTGTATAGTTAATTCTCTATCTTTTCCCCTCTCAGATGGCCAGCTGTTTACGTGGGGCCAGAACACCAGTGGTCAGCTCGGTCTGGGTAAAGGAGAGCCCAGTAAGTTGTTCCCTCATCCCCTGAACTCTCTGGCAGGAATTCCTTTGGCACAGGTAACTGCTGGAGGTGACCACAGCTTTGCTCTCTCCTTGTCTGGAGCTGTATTCGGCTGGGGCAAGAACAGAGCTGGACAACTGGGTCTCAATGATAAACAAGGTAAGAATCAGCTGTTTAGGAATCTGCACACTGCCAATTTCAAGAGATGAGTTATGTATTATTGTTATTATGTCTGTTATTATCCAAAATGGTATAGTATAGAGCCTGTACTGAATTACACACATGTATTTAACATTGTACTCACAGAATTATTTTGACACTGGTTAGATAAGTTTGTATATTTAATGCTCAGTGTGTTCATACAGGACCTATACAAACAACAACAAAGTGTTGTTAGATTATTGGAAATTGTAAACAGTTGTTTTGAAGCTGGTTACCAGAAGTTATAGATGGTCATGTTGAGTGAGAGGCTACTGTAGAAACATTTATTGCAAACCTTCTTTGTTTTTGCTTTCCATTTATGTACTTGACATGATTTAAAAATGACCTGTTGAAGGAATAAACCTATTATTCACCTAGCACTACAGTACTAGATTAAAATGCAGAAGTTCCCATGCCCCTTTAAGCCTTACCACTCCCTGGGTAAATATGCCAAACAGTAGCCTTACTGAGCTGTGCAACCGTGCTTGCTTGTTTATGTTCCCTTCCTTAGATCGTGCCGTTCCATGCCACATCAAATTTCTGAGGTCTCAAAAAGTTGTTTACATCAGCTGTGGAGATGAACATACAGCAGCACTCACAAAGGTATGAATACAGCTCAAGTCTCACTACAGCTCGATGGCATTCAAGGGCAATTTCACTGGACAGATAAAATCAAAAATGCATTACAACCAGTTTGCATAAGCCTAACTGACCCTGACATACTGTACAGTATGTGCATAATGGGGTCCTGCAGCAAAATGATTCTTTCATTTGACTGCTTTTGAGCTACAATTGTTAAAACGTTCTGCCTTAAACAACTGGAACATGAATACTGCACCGTCTCTTGGGCAGGACGGCGGCTTGTTTACTTTTGGTGATGGCTCATGGGGTCAGCTGGGTCATGGCTCCACCAATAATGAACTTTTACCCAGACGAGTGTTGGAGCTCATGGGCACTGAGGTGTCCCAAATCACCTGTGGCAGGTACTGTGTGTTGTAAACCAGCTGTACCCAGAATTTTTGTTCATAATTTTATTTGGTATAGCTGTACAATCTAATGAAATTCAACACAATAACCTTATTATACATTCTAACGTTGAAGTTATGTACTTAAGTGCTTTGAGAGTGTTTCAGTAAGCTGCGGCTCTTTTTCAGGCTGTAGTTAGTGGTTTCTGTGTTAAGACGGCAGCTATGAACTGCAGCATCCACAGTTTGAAGCCAGTCGGGGGCTTGCTATTGCTTCTAAAATGCACTGACAATATTAATTAAAAATGTATATTAAAAAGGTTCAAAACCTTTACGAACCAAAGCCTGTATTCTAAAGCTTGTTTTTTCTTTGTGTCAGGCACCACACGTTAGCGTTTGTGCCTTCCTCTGGTATAGTTTATGCATTTGGTTGTAACAGCCATGGCCAGCTGGGCACAGGGATACTTGGCGATGCTGGAAGCCCATTTCCTGTCAAGACCGGTTTGCTGACTGGAATTTTTCATAGTACAGGTAAGCAGAAGAATGGCTTCACAATCTGGCAACCACTTTATTTATTTATTTATTTATTTATTTTTTTGTTGAGAAAACAGCAAATTGTTTTGACATGAATAGAACAAATAGTGTTTTGGTTGATTATTTGTTAGATGGATATTTGAGAAGAGGTGAAAATTTCATCCTTTGACTGTTCTTTGAAACATCTTTCACAGTCACATTCAGAAAACTCAGACCTAAAAACTAAAGCTACTATTCATAAATCTGTAAATGGACATAACGCACCGATAATAACCAATGACTGTTTCTCTGTTTTACTCAGAAAATAGTGAAATGTCCTGTTTGTGGCCAGCAATGTGTATCAGATAAGATTTCAGTTTTGTTTTTTGTTTGATGGGTCTACTTTTTAACAACGTATCTCTTGTAGCAATGTATAAACGGTGTATTCGCGTTCAGGATCATGTTTGAAAAGTAGAATTTCATGCAAATGCTGCTGAAAGTGCTTTACAGTGAAACTTCTCACTGTAACCATATGATTTATAGCTATCAAACAATGACCAGCTAACATGTCCTGTTGTCTTTTCTTCCTTTATTAGAGTCAAAACAATATACAGTGACCAAAATCATCTGTGGAGGAGACCATAGTTTCTTACTGTATTCTAATGAACAGGTATGTGATTTCATAAAGCACCGAGTACTCCCGATCTTAAACTTTAAATTTATTATGATATATATGCCAAGTTTGATCTCGAGTGATTTTACTGTCTCTCTTTTATCTATTGAAAATATATTTGTCTTAATGCCACTTTTTTTTTGACGTTTTTTTGAATTTTAAAATCAACTGCCAGGAGAAACCGATATGTAAACTAATATACTGTAAGCAGAATAGGGAATTAGTTGAAGTTGAGATTTCTTATTTTGTAGTATGGTATTATCTAACACAACACATGTACAGTATACATTCACAAACATCCTTGTACTTCTGGTCTTAAGATTTTGACGAGTCTCCTTTGGATTATTAATCATAATTTCAACCCATAAAGGTGATAAAAGCAACTGAAAAACATGCTACATAAATCTAAAATCTGTCAAATAAAACTCTAGTAAATAGCCAGGTTTAGCCAGGTTCAGTGTTTCACCACTGGGTGGCATTTGTGTATAAAAGTTTGCTAGTTTCCGTGATGGGACTACTATACTGCATATGAAGTAACTGTCTGGGCACATAACCAGCAAACTGCCAGGAATGTGCACTGATAAAGACATAATGCACACTCAACCTCAGCAGCAAAATATTTAGACCTCAGGCACGGCCATGTTATCTCCTTGGAGGAAAGAGACATCCCAGACAGAAGTGTGAATGTCTCCGTGCTGAATTGTGCCATACGGCAGTGCAAACAATCTCTCAAATGTTGGTGACAATGCCGTTATGTTATGTCTCTGTTCTTCTTCCTTTCTGCAGAGTTCAGTTCCCCCAGAAGACTTCAGAGTGTTTAACATCAGCAAAAGCCTCTCCACAATCAATAATGAAAGGCTAAATTCATGGAGGTTGAAACTGATGTACAGTACAGATTCCACTGTCACTAAGTGAGTCACGAGCAAAAACCGATTATTTGAAATGTATAAGACTAAAGTTTATATAAATAATAGTTCCCTTGTACTGTACATACTAGTATTAAAGGTGGCTTTCTTTGGCTATATTTTGACACAGTATCTTAGTTTTGTTAAATCAGTTATATTTTAATGGTTGGTCAAGTAACATTTTTCATCCTAATGCTCTGTTTTCTGTTTTTGTGCTCAGCAACATTATTATTCAGCTCTCCTCTACGGCTTGTTGGAATGCCAGCTTCTTGGACCAAAGGTATGCAGGCTTTATCTGTAACACAACACTAAGAAATAAATTAGGCAGCATGTTTACAAGCAAACATTTCAGATGCATTTACTAAAGTAGTATACTCAAGTATGATTTTGAGGTACTAATATTTTACTTTTGAGGTTAAGATTTTCCATCTACTTCACAACCTTTTACTCCACTACATTTGTGCTACAGCTGCAGAAAAATGGTTACTTTTTTTTACTATTTCAAATGAAACACATATGATAAGGAGTTTCTGTTATTAGGCCAGCATTACTGGGATCAGTGTCATCAAGTACAAATGAATAGCACCACAAACATCTCATTTATGTCATCTTTTCCAACAAAACATGGTGATCATCAGGGCTAGGAAAGATGCTCTCTGCTTGATCACTGTGATCTGTGGAAGTCATCCCATTTCTCTGACCCAGAGGTCAGTGTGATGGGTTTTACTTCAGACTCATCAGCTGATGCTTATCTGTGTCCTGTGAAAGAGCTGTGCAGGTCAAAGTGGTAAATAGACCTAGTCTGGCAACAGCTTGATACTCTCTGCAGAAGCAACTGAATCTCACTGGGAATTAGGAGCAGTGACTGGGACTGATGCGACAATTTTATTAGATTTAATTCCACAATGACGCCTACACACAAAAACAAACAAAATTAAGTAAATGGCCTGAGATGCTCGCCCGGCTGCTGAAAATAAAACACTGGACATATACAACTTAATAAAAAAACAAAATAGCCAAAAATAATCACCGACTATCTTAGCAAGTATATTTATTTAAAAGAATGACATTTTTTTTTTTTTAAGGAAAGTTATTTTATAAAATGAAATGATTTTTCTTCTAAACCTTTGTTTTATCTTGAAATATTTAAAAACCCATTGAATATCAGAAAAATGGTCACAGATTTGACATTTTAGAAATAAATTGATTCACAGGACAGCAACAGTTCACAGCCTTGAAACAGTCAGATAATGAAGATCGCACTTAAATGGAGACAGATTTGCTCTGTTCACAGGATTAATAGACATAACATAACATAATAGACATACTGTTCTTGAGACAGTAACAGGTTTGAGATGTATGGTAGTTGCTTGTTGCACACATATGCACAGCAAGTGCAGTCATCTTTATTGTATTACTGTCACATTTTGGACCCAGATCAATGGTTCTTTAAGCTCAGGGGGTTCTTAAAATTATATGTGGGTCACTGCGTAAACTCGCAAATGACTGGGATGTACTGTCGCACAAAGACTGCACTATCTACATCGGTGTTTTCTGTTTGGCACACTGTCTCCACCTGATCAGATCGCATGTATTTGTGTTATGACTAAATAAAACCCATGCTAGAGGAATGTGAAGGCATAAACTAAAAATGCTTCGTCCCTCGCCTCGAGGGTTTTGTCGAGGTGATGGTGTAGGTTCATCAGTTAGGACTCACCGTCCTTGACTCTCAGGTTGAAGAGGAGATGTGCACACTGACTGACTTAAAACCCTTATTGCTGTGTGTACACTCAGCCATTGCTCATGTTGCGCTGAGAATTAGTGTACCTACCATTGTGACCGGCCATGTGATGGGTTGGAACAGACTTGTGTTTACTCTAAAACAACTTCTACCTTCAAACTAATGTTTTACCACAAAGTTCCTGAATCTTTACTGTAATTGCATCATGTTAGTAATAACTGATACATCATTCTATGTTTTCTTTCTCAGTGACGATACCCACTTTAAGACCAACCCAAAGATCCCAGGCATCGATCTCAACTCTGTCAGACTTCTGTTTGAGACGCTCAGCAAACCGGCTTTCTCTGGACTTCTGGAGCAGGTAATAGTATACCTATAAATTTATGCCTAATAACACCTAAATATTTTCCCTTTTAATCTTCCAAATCCAGATTACTGTATTCCAAGGACATCAGCATGTAGGACTAGTTGATACTGCCGCCTGTTGAAAAAAAATACATCAAATACATTGTTTTGAAAGTACACCAAGTTCTGCCACAAACCCACAGCTCAAAATTCAGGAGTGAGTCATAACCTCTAACATTAGCTCCGTAATGTTAGGTTTGGTCTTTGTGTATCTCAGCCCAGCATGATTTACAATCTGTGTGTAGGCCAAGACCACATTCCAAACCACTAAAGGCCTCTCTCAAAACTTAGTGACTGAACTCTTTGACCAATATTTTTCTCCTGCTGCCTAGTGAATCCAGATTATTCTAGTATTGCAAAAGATCCATTACATTTCTCTGGTTCATTTATTAACATTAAGACTTGTGGTTTTCAGACATGTCAGAGACTGTACGCTTCAGATACCTTTCTCCATATAGAGTTTCTTTGAGTTGTAGAATTCAAAGAAGAAATATCTGTCCAATCCTCTGCTTAGGCCACCAAGAGTTTTGAGAGTCTGTTGATCCCTCAACTGCCACGCTCTCCTCCTGATGTTGAGGCCATGAGGATCTACCTCATCTTGTCAGAGTACCCAGCCCTGCAGGACTCCAAGAACTACATCCGCCTCACTATTCCCCTGGCAATGGCCATCCTCCGGCTAGACGCCAACCCCAGCAAAGTATTGGGTATTATATGTACATGAACGCAAGTTTTTTTTTACCCATCATCTCATCTGAACTTCCCTTTGGTAGCTAACACAGCACATCATCTCATGTAACGCCATGCTGCATATACGATATACAGGACATCAGCATCCTCATCCATATCTTCTGTTCTTAGCTTGTTATGCAAAGGAATATTTCAAATAGGTCACCAAACAAGAAAATGGCCACAGAACTTAAAGGAACATCACCCAACAGTGGAGTCTGACCAGTAATGTATTCTTGAGGCCAATACCGGAATCAGTCCACAAACAGTTACAGCACGTAACTCCCCTTAAAACCACAATTTGTCAACTTTACATAACCTGGCATGCTGATAGGTCTGTTTTTAAACTAGCTGTTTCTCCATGTTTTCAGTATTTACACTAGCCAAGTTCCAAGCACAGTTTGAGATTTTTTTTCATTATATACTCAGAAAACAAATTGGCATAGTTCCCTAATTGTTGAACTATTTCTTCAAAAAATAATGGTACATCTGCCGATATTAATTTGATAAACAACTGCAGACATTTAGCCCTGTACATAAGTGGAAATGAAACAACAACAAGAAATGTGAAAGCCCACCAGAGAACAGAAACACCCTGCCTTTCACATAGAGATCACGCATGTGCACAAATCACATGGCAACTTGTACTGTAGAGGCAAATTTACACTAAAACTGACAAGTCAGTGAAGACACTCTGCCAACCACACTGGAACTTATCACAAGAGTTTTAACTGCAGTAAAATATTGTTTTGTTTGAAGAAGGTTTTTGCTCCGCATTTGAATTTGACCTCCTTCTCTCTCTCCCTGCAGACAACTGGTGGTGTTTTGTGGATGGAAGCGTGTTCACCAGAATGGTCGACATGTACAAGAGCATCGTTGTGTTTATGCTAACAGGAGGCAAAACTCTCCTTGTACCGGTGTTCTACGAAAACTATTTTCTTGCCACACTACGGCTGCTGGAGAAACTCCACAAGGTATCCACAAAGGTCACACACTGCTCCCATAAACAAGCCACTAGCGCTTCACTGTTTCTCAGTACAGTCTGAAGAGGGAGTGCGTTTGTTGGTGAACCATGTGAATGGTTCTTGATAGCTGCTGAGGTAATCTACAGATTATAGTCTACAGTCCACTGTGTAGTGTGACATTTCCTGGAATCTGACGCAGGTGTTTGTTCCCAGGTAAACTTAAAAGCCCAGCATGTGGAGTACAATCGTTTTTATATCCCAGACATCACCAGCCTGGTGGACATTCAGGAAGACTACCTCAAGTGGTTTCTGAGCAAAGCCAAGATTGTACGTACTGAAATTCTCAGAAAATGTTACATTTCCTTGTTACCCGACATCTACTCACACAAACACACACATGCAGCCGTTTCTATGGAATTTAGCCACACTGCTCTTAGCTCGTGTTGTTCTTAACGTTTACAGAGACAGTGTGGAATTTTGTTCATAACAGCCTATGGGTGTTGTTGCTGTCAGTTCCTGATACTGATCAAGTGTCTAAGCTCACAAACAAGCCCCTATAACTTGAATCAAGTTCTTATCTTATTACAGTGCTGCTTTTGCCTGTTTTCCTCTTTGAAGCCAAATGACTTTCTCTCAATTTGTTTTCCAGAAAATGGGATCATTGCCTTCACAGGTACTTGAATTAACAACTGACCTTCAAACCATCAAAGCAAACCATCAGAGCAAACCATCAGATTTATTTGATCCTCTAAAAAGTTAACGGCGCGTTGGTGCTTTCTCTTATTTTCTCTGCAGAGTGACTTTCCCTCGGTGAACCTGTGTGCCTACCCGTTCATACTGAACGCCCAAGCCAAGACAACCATGCTCCAAACAGATGCCGAACTGCAAATGCAGGTACTTGCTACTAAAGTAAAAGTTGTTTTCTTTGTGGTTACATACCAAAATTATTTGGATTCAACAAGCTAGGTCTTAATTCATCAATAAAAAATACAACTGGCTTTTATTTAACACTTAAGGTGTTTTAAAATGCCCTGTTAAATCGACTTGTCTTTTTTGCTTTTCTTCTTTCTTTCCATCTCTGCCTGTGACCAACCAAGATGGCAGTTAGTGGTGCAAACCTACACAATGTATTTATGCTGCTCACACTGGAACCCCACCTTGCTAGGAATCCATACCTGGTGCTCCATGTACGCAGGAACCATTTAGTAAGTGACACGCTACGTGAGCTCACCATGTATTCTGACGTGGACCTCAAGAAACCACTCAAGGTACACTTTTGAAGATCACTGTAGTTTTGTAATTCTGATAAAAGAGAACTCTTTCTCACAAACCTCTGTACTATATCTTATCGTCTTCCTCCCCTCAGGTGATCTTTGACGGAGAGGAAGCTGTAGATGTAGGTGGAGTAACTAAAGAGTTCTTCCTGCTGCTGTTAAAGGAGCTGATGGATCCTGTGTATGGGATGTTCACTCATTACAAAGAGTCCAACTTGCTGTGGTTCTCAGACAAAGTAAGTGGCCATGCAAAACTGAAATTTGTTTGTCCTACATTGCAACATATGGAAATGTACACACACACACACACACAC